GTGAACTGGAACCCGTCAGTTGAGTACCTGGAGCCCGCCCCGAGCCCTACCGAGAACCCATCCCGATCCCTACCGAGAACCCACCCTGATCCCTACTGAGAACCCACCCCTAGTCCTACCATGAAAACACCCTGAGCCCTACAGAGAACCCACCCTGGGCCCGACCAAGAACCTACCCCGAGCCCTACAGAGGTACCCCAAGCCCGAGAGCCCATCCAAAACCCGAAAGAGCCCACCCTGAGCCTGACCGGGAGCCAACCCTAAGTCCTACCAAGAACCCACCCCGAAGCCCTACCAAGAACCCACCCCGAAGCCCTACCAAGAACATACCCGAAGCCGGACAGACACCCACCTGGAGCCCGAACAGTCACCCACCCGGAGCCCGACCAGTCAAACACCCGGAGCCCGCCAGTTTAGTAAACCGGAGCCCGCCAGTTGAGTGAACCGGAGCCCGCCAGTTGAGTGAACTGGAACCCGTCAGTTGAGTACCTGGAGCCCGCCCCGAGCCCTACCGAGAACCCACCCTGAGCCCGACCAAGAACCTACCCCGAGCCCTACAGAGGTTCCCCAAGCCCGAGAACCTATCCCGATCCCGAAAGAGCCCACCCCGAGCCCTACCGAGAACCCACCCCCCAAGCCCTACCGAGAACCCACCCCCCAAGCCCTACCGAGAACCCACCCCCCCAAGCCCTACCGAGAACCCAGCCCCAAGCCCTACCGAGAACCCACCCCCCAAGCCCTACCAAGAACCCATCCCCAAGCCCTACCGAGAACCCAGCCCCAAGCCCTACTGAGAACCCAGCCCCAAGCCCTACCGAGAACCCAGCCCCAAGCCCTACCGAGAACTCAGCCCCAAACCCTACCGAGAACTCAGCCCCAAGCCCTACCGAGAACCCACCCCCAAGCCCTACCGAGAACCCACCCCTAGTCCTACCATGAAAACACCCTGAGCCCTACAGAGAACCCACCCTGGGCCCGACCAAGAACCTACCCCGAGCCCTACAGAGGTACCCCAAGCCCGAGAGCCCATCCCGAACCCGAAAGAGCCCACCCTGAGCCTGACCGGGAGCCAACCCTAAGTCCTACCAAGAACCCACCCCGAAGCCCTACCAAGAACATACCCGAAGCCGGACAGACACCCACCTGGAGCCCGAACAGTCACCCACCCGGAGCCCGACCAGTCAAACACCCGGAGCCCGCCAGTTTAATAAACCGGAGCCCGCCAGTTGAGTGAACCGGAGCCCGCCAGTTGAGTGAACTGGAACCCGTCAGTTGAGTACCTGGAGCCCGCCCCGAGCCCTACCGAGAACCCACCCTGAGCCCGACCAAGAACCTACCCCGAGCCCTACAGAGGTTCCCCAAGCCCGAGAACCTATCCCGATCCCGAAAGAGCCCACCCCGAGCCCTACCGAGAACCCACCCCCCAAGCCCTACCGAGAACCCACCCCCCAAGCCCTACCGAGAACCCACCCCCCCAAGCCCTACCGAGAACCCAGCCCCAAGCCCTACCGAGAACCTACCCCCCAAGCCCTACCAAGAACCCAGCCCCAAGCCCTACCGAGAACCCAGCCCCAAGCCCTACTGAGAACCCAGCCCCAAGCCCTACCGAGAACCCAGCCCCAAGCCCTACCGAGAACTCAGCCCCAAGCCCTACCGAGAACTCGGCCCCAAGCCCTACCGAGAACCCACCCCCAAGCCCTACAGAGAACCCACCCCTAGTCCTACCATGAAAACACCCTGAGCCCTACAGAGAACCCACCCTGGGCCCGACCAAGAACCTACCCCGAGCCCTACAGAGGTACCCCAAGCCCGAGAGCCCATCCCGAACCCGAAAGAGCCCACCCTGAGCCTGACCGGGAGCCAACCCTAAGTCCTACCAAGAACCCACCCCGAAGCCCTACCAAGAACATACCCGAAGCCGGACAGACACCCACCTGGAGCCCAAACAGTCACCCACCCGGAGCCCGACCAGTCAAACACCCGGAGCCCGCCAGTTTAATAAACCGGAGCCCGCCAGTTGAGTGAACCGGAGCCCGCCAGTTGAGTGAACTGGAACCCGTCAGTTGAGTACCTGGAGCCCGCCCCAAGCCCTACCGAGAACCCACCCCGAGCCCTACCAAGAACCCACCCCGAGCCCTACAGAGAACCCAACCCCCCCGAGCCCTACCAAGAACCCACCCCCCCGAGCCCTACAAGAACCCAACCCCCCGAGCCCTACCAAGAACCCCCCCCCCCCCCGAGCCCTACCAAGAACCCACCCCCCCCCCCCCGAGCCCTACCAAGAACCCCCCCCCCCCCGAGCCCTACCAAGAACCCCCCCCCCCCCGAGCCCTACCAAGAACCCCACCCCCCCGAGCCCTACCAAGAACCCACACCCCCCCGAGCCCTACCAAGAACCCACACCTCCCCGAGCCCTACCAAGAACCCCCCCCACCCCCCCCGAGCCCTACCAAGAACCCACACCCCCCCCCCCCCCCCCCCCCGAGCCCTACCAAGAACCCACACCCCCCCGAGCCCCCCCCCCCCCCCCGAGCCCTACCAAGAAGCCCCCACACCCACACCCCCCGAGCCCTACCAAGAACCCACACCCCCCCCGAGCCCTACCAAGAACCCACACCCCCCCCCGAGCCCTACCAAGAACCCACACCCCCCCCCGAGCCCTACCAAGAACCCACACCCCCCCAAGCCCTACCAAGAACCCACACCCCCCCAAGCCCTACCAAGAACCCACACCCCCCCAAGCCCTACCAAGAACCCACACCCCCCCCCAAGCCCTACCAAGAACCCACACCCCCCCAAGCCCTACCAAGAACCCCACCCCCCCAGCCCCCCAAGAACCCTACCAAGAACCAAGAACCCACCCCCAAGCCCTACCAAGAACCCACCCGAAGCCGGACAGACACCCACCTGGAGCCCGAACAGTCACCCACCCAGAGCCCGCCAGTTGAGTACCTAAAGCCTGCCCGGAGCCCCGACCGACAACCCACCCCGAAGCCCCGACCGACAACCCACCCCGGAGCCCCGACCGACAACCCACCCCGGAGCCCCGACCGACAACCCACCCCGGAGCCCCGACAGAGAACCCACTTGGGACCCGACAGAGAACCCACTTGGGGCCCGACAGAGAACCCACTTGGGGCCCGACAGAGAACCCACTTGGGGCCCGACAGAGAACCCACTTGGGGCCCGACAGAGAACCCACCTGGAGCCCGACCAAGAACCCACTTGGAGCCCGACAGAGAACCCACCTGAAGCCCGACAGAGAACCCACCTGAAGCCCGACCAAGAACCCACCTGAAGCCCGACCAAGAACCCACCTGGAGCCCGACCAAGAACCCACCTGAAGCCCGACCAAGAACCCACCTGGAGTCCAACAGAGAACTCACCTGGAGTCCAACAGAGAACCCACCTGGAGCCCGACAGAGAACCCACCTGGAGCCCGACAGAGAACCCACCTGGAGCCCGACCAAGAACCCACCTGGAGTCCAACAGAGAACCCACCTGGAGCCCGACAGAGAACCCACTTGAAGCCCGACCAAGAACCCACCTGGAGTCCAACAGAGAACCCACCTGGAGCCCGACCAAGAACCCACCTGGAGCCCGACCAAGAACCCACCTGGAGCCCGACCAAGAACCCACCTGGAGCCCGACCAAGAACCCACCTGGAGCCCGACCAAGAACCCACCTGGAGCCCGACCAAGAACCCACCTGTAGCCCGACCAAGAACCCACCTGTAGCCCGACCAAGAACCCACCTGGAGCCCGACCAAGAACCCACCTGGAGCCCGACCAAGAACCCACCTGGAGCCCGACCAAGAACCCACCTGGAGCCCGACCAAGAACCCACCTGGAGCCCGACCAAGAACCCACCTGGAGCCCGACCAAGAACCCACCTGGAGCCCGACCAAGAACCCACCTGGAGCCCGACCAAGAACCCACCTGGAGCCCGACCAAGAACCCACCTGGAGCCCGACCAAGAACCCACCTGGAGCCCGACCAAGAACCCACCTGGAGCCCGACCAAGAACCCACCTGGAGCCCGACCTGGAGCCCGACCAAGAACCCACCTGGAGCCCGACCAAGAACCCAAGAACCCACCTGGAGCCCGACCAAGAACCCACCTGGAGCCCAAGACTGGAGCCCGACCAAGAACCCACCTGGAGCCCGACCAAGAACCCACCTGGAGCCCGACCAAGAACCCACCTGGAGCCCGACCAAGAACCCACCTGGAGCCCGACCAAGAACCCACCTGGAGCCCGACCAAGAACCCACCTGGAGCCCGACCAAGAACCCACCTGGAGCCCGACCAAGAACCCACCTGGAGCCCGACCAAGAACCCACCTGGAGCCCGACCAAGAACCCACCTGGAGCCCGACCAAGAACCCACCTGGAGTCCGACCAAGAACCCACCTGGAGTCCGACCAAGAACCCACCTGGGACCCGACAGAGAACCCACCTGGAGCCCAACAGAGAACCCACCACGCGCCCAACCTTTCATGGAGAAAATTCAACACCAGGCGACAAAAATAATTGCAGAATGAAGTCTAGTTTCATACCATGAACGGTCGAGGGCCACAGGGCTAACAACACTGCAAACCAGGCATTGCCAGGATGGATCTCGCCGAAACTATTAAAATATTGAACAGTTTCGAAGATATGGATCCAGAGAACAACTTCAACAGGTCAGATGGAACACAAACAATGAACAACGGTTTCAAGTTCAACAAGCCGCAGTGTAGGACTGAAAACAGAAGCTACATTTTCACCCACAGGGTTATAAACCCATGGAACCGCCTATCTGCTAAAGCAGTAAATACCATAACACTGTTGAATTGTAAAATCCAATTTGAAAAAATCATCAGGACAAGTGGAGGACCTTTGACAAGGTCAATGATAGGCATTGTTGGAAGCAGACTCCATACGCGAAACCCCAGTATATTATATAATTGTATATACTGGGTTTATACAAGATATAAATGTCAAAAAGAATTATCACTCTTACCTGTTGTAATGGTAAGAGTAATGTTGCTGATGTCGGTAATCAGTGGCAGATGTTGTCGCCTTGGCGGCAGCGACGATACTGAGCGCTGAGCCTTCAACGGTTAACCGCCGTTTGAACGCCATTTTGAAATTCCAGGCGTACTGCCCTAATAGTGTGTAAATTAGTATTTGTGTGCATAATAGGCCTTTCCAAGAAACCTTATTGCTATGAATATCTTGTTATCTAACAAACGAATTATTTTTGTTAATATTTCTAGCACATATGTTAAATTAGTCCATTTTTCATTCAGAGGGGGTATATATATATAGCTATTTACATTTTAAGTTTGAAAAATTACCGTAGAAAATTGAATGCAAAGATAAGATTATATTTATTTATACAACCCTGTTTGGAAATTAACTCCTTTTACAATGAAATAAGACGCAAATAAAAACCTCAATTGTGTAGTGGATTTATGCATTTTGTTTTGAGTAAAAGCTTAGGTAGTACAATGTACTACTACTACTAATACCATATAATATATGAGGGACTACTAAATAAAATTTAAGCACAAGCATGTTCACCTAATATCATCATCTGACAGGTGAAATATGAAAGGCGGAAACTATTTGATTCTCTTCTAGAATTTCTACTACTGTACGGGTAATCCTTTCTTTCTGTTGTTGTTGTTATAGATTCAGCTACTCGGAACAAGTTCCAAGTAGCACGGGCTATGGTGAGCCCGTAACTTACCTGGCACAGGAGCGGGGCAAGTAGCCCGGCCATGGTGAGCCCGTAGTGGATTTACCTGGCACAAGAGCGGTGCTGAGACTGTGTCCATTCTTTCGTCGAAACCAATATATATGTCAGTGGCCCTCAGATAAATTCTGATAAATTTCATTTACAGAACTCAAATTATTCAGACCGTTTCAAAGAAAACGAGTTATATATACGTTTATATTTTACCTGAATTTACCCGAGTCACTAACACTAGTGGCCTCGATGAGGACAGAAAGCCGCTTCTTGTTAGAAGCCGGCGGCTTGTCAAAGGTCCCCTCATTTATTTTGATGATTTTTTCACGCTAGATCTTAAAATTCAAGTGTTTTGGCATTTACGGCTTTGGCGGGTAGGTAGTTCCATGGGTTTATAACCCTGTAGGTGAAAAAGCAGCTCCTGTTTTCAGACCTACATTGAGGTTTGTTAAGCTTGAAACCGTTGTTCCTTGTTTGTGTTGCATCTGACATCTTGAAGAAGTTAATTTTTTTTAATTTTGCCCCGAGGGGCGAGTTTATTGGGCAGCGCCAATCATCTTGTGAGTGGACATACCGCCATAGCAGCATGTACAACACTCCTGGATCAACATCCTCCAAATTATTCAGTGTTTTAAACGTTTCGGTGAGATCCGCTTTGTCATGCGTGGTTTGCGGTGTGGTTATACCTTCTTGTATATTAATAAATAAGTAAATAAGGTTAGCTCTGTGGCCCTTAACCATTCCTGGTATGAGAGTTGACTTAGTTCTGGGATATTTATAATAGCCCGGTGTTGAACTTTCTCCAGTGAAGCTATATCTTATGATAATGAGGTTTCCATGCTTGGAGTCAATAATCAAGCACAGTCTCCGTGGTGTAGTGGTAAGACACTCGCCTGGCGTTCCGCGAGCGCTATACCATGGGTTCGTATCCTGGCCGGGGAGGATTTATTGGGCGCAAATCCTTAACTGTAGCTTCTGTTTAACGCAACTGTAAAATGTGTACTTGGATGAAAAAACGATTGTTCGCGGCTGGGATCGTATTCCAGGGACCTGCCCGAAACGCTACGCATACTAGTGGCTGTACAAGAATGTAACAACTCTTGTATATATCTCATAAAAAAAAAAAAAAGTGAGGCTTCACCAGATTTATTAGTTTGAATATTAACCTTCTTTTTCATAAAAAAAATCAAAGGTACGCATCATTATTCTCAGGTTTCGTTAGGTTAGGTATTGTAGAATAGCAGTAATAGTGCTTCATTGTGGGTGTAGGTGAACATTGCCAGTGTTGCACTACTGCTGCTATACTGCACTCTTATTCTCACAATGTGTTTACTTAAGTTACCGGTCTGTCTAATTACACAAAGCTTCCTAGCATTACGTAAGTAATGAAGAACTATGATATATTTACTCACTGTAATGTTGGTGCTGAATGTACAAAATGAAAAAACATATTTTTACTCTGAAATAATATCATTTTATAACGAAATTAGACGAAACTAAGTTTCGTCTAAGTTTTAGCAGTCTCCGTGGTGTAGTGGTAAGACACTCGCCTGGCGTTCCGCGAGCGCTATGTCATGGGTTCGTATCCTGGCCGGGGAGGATTTACTGGGCGCAATTCCTTAACTGTAGCCTCTGTTTAACGCAACAGTAAAATGTGTACTTGGATGAAAAAACGATTCTTCGCGGCAGGGGATCGTATTCCAGGGACCTGCCCGAAACGCTACGCGTACTAGTGGCTGTACAAGAATGTAACAACTCTTGTATATATCTCAAAAAAAAAAAAAAAAGTGGCAGGTGACGCCACAGGAAGTCGACGCTCCAAGCGACAATGTTTAGGCTTTGGGTATTTAGATGGATCCAATTTCGTTATAAAATTATATTATTTTAGAGTAAAAATGTGTTTTTTCATGTTCTACGTTCAGTACCAACATTATAGTGAGTAAATATATCATAGTTCTTCATTACTTATTTAATGCTAGGAAGCTTTGGATAGTTTTAGGTAATTAGACGGACCCGAAGTTCCTGCAAATCTTGCAACAAACCTATATCCTTTCATATTTATATAAAAATAAATGTATTATAGGATAAAGAAACTGCAAATGTCTGTAAATCTAATGTATATTTTATTACTTTTTATTCACAAATAATATAACAAATGGGAAAAATATTGCTATCGTGATATAAACTCTTATTAAATATAATGTTCCCATCCAAGGAGTCTGTCTTTATAATTCTGGCATTACAGACAAGCAACTTTGTTTGTGCAACTTATTTGAAAGGCACCTTTCACAGCTGCCAGAACTTTGGTGTGATAAATTCACTCGTCGAGCATCATATAAACTATAAATGATGTAATATTCAAGTATGCTAAAGTAATATATATCCAATTTTATGCAGTAATTTTGGCATACAAGTATATTGTAGTTCTACCATTCTTTCCCCACGCAACTATTAACAGTAGGAGTGCCAAAGGGCAACATCTTAGGACCTCTCTTATTTCTTATATAAATCTATGATTTGCCAAAAGTTTCTAACATTCTTTAGCCTATACTATTTGCTGACGATACTACCTTCATCTGTTCTGACATCAATCTAAATAATATTGCCAATAATGAATTAAAAAAGTCCACTCATGGATATCAACCGACAAACTCACACTAAACATAGAAAAAGACTTACTACATTTTATTTGGTAGTAAACCATCAAATCAAATTCAACTTCAGATAGACAATGTTAATATTAGCAATAAAAATTAGTTAATGTTCCTTGGCCTATACTAAGACAAGAGACTGAACTTCACCACCCACATACAACACACAGCCAAAAAAGTACAGTACAGTATCAAAAACTGTTGGAATACTTTCTAAAATCAACTACTGTATTATGTTCCCCACTCTGCTCTCATCTCATTACTCTATACCACGAGCTAATCTATCTCTATCTTTCTTACAGTATCTGTGCATTGGGTTCAACCACTGTGCAAATTACCTCAAGCCCATCATCACACGGCAAAAATCTGCTAGCAGAACAATGACAAACTCTGTCTTCAGACAACATGCAGCCCCTTTGTTTAAGTCCCTTAACATGCTAAATATACACTCACTCCACACATTCTCATGTGCTATTTACATGTACAAAACCTTGTTCCTAAATGCTAATCTTGATCTGTGACTTTTCTTTCATAGGTGTAATAGAACCCATGAGCACCACCAGAAATAAATCTCTTTGATATCCTCAGTCAAACTAAATCTTTGCAAACACTCCAGGCAAATGAAAAGACCCAGTCTTAGGAACTCACTCCCTGACACCTTAAAAAATTATCCAACCTATGCCCTATTCAAAAGTAAAACCAAAAAGTACCTAATTTCATCATCATAGTTTCCTACCTTGTGCTTCAAAGTTCAATTTCATTATCTTCTCCAACTTTAAAGGGCATGTTCATTCCCTCATGTTACCTAACTACCAAGTACAGTACTTATTTATAATAATTGTTTGTATACATATTACTATGAATAAAGAACACGAGAGATTTTTGGCCAAAGCTTTGAATGTCAGATAAAAATTATTTGTAGACAAAAAGTATGGGATAAACACTTAGTACTAAATGAGCAGTAAATTAACATAAGAGATGTTCAAGGAATGTAACAAATGATTACAATATAAATTTGAATTTTACCGGAGGGCCACCATCTTTAGTGACCTCAACAAGGACAGGAAATCGGTGGCTCATGAAATGTCTCCCATTTTTCCTGAGAATTTGTTCCAGATGAATTTTTAAACTGAAGTAATGTCTTTCTTTAACACTAGTGTCAATGGCTCTTGGGTAAATTTATATTTATGGCTTGGGTGGGTAGTTTGTTCCACTAGTATATAACTATGGGTGAAAAAGTATCTCCTGTGTTCTGTCCTTCATTGTGCCTTGTGGAGTTTGAAACTGCTGCCCCTTGCATGTGTTTACATTTGACCTTTTAAGGAAGTGGTCTAGATGAATATCCTCCATTAACTTGTTCGTTCTGTCTGGTTATCAAACCAAAAATCATTCTGCTGTGAGCAGAATGCTCAAACTGCTCACAGCAGTTTTCTGCTGTGAGCAGGAAACAAATCATTTGGGTTTTGTGCTAACTTTTATGCATGTATACAAAACATTCATATTAACAGAGGATAGCTACAAATGAATTAATATTCATAAAGTAATTTAATAAGTACTTTATGAAAGCCAGTAATAAATGTATTTCATGGATGGCAAAGTAAATATAGTGATTGAGTGATGCATTGAGAAAGTACCCATGCATAACTATGTATAGTTATGCATCGGTTAAGTATTTAGGTTCTGTTGGAAATTATTAGTATTTGAAGTTTAAGGGTGAAGCATTTGAAGTTTTGTGGTTCAAAAGGGAAAACCAAGACAGTACAGTAATTGGAATATTGGGTGGGACACGAAAGAATAACTACTGTATTGGCATGCAAAGGATAGAATATACAAATATGTGATTTAAAGAAATCTCATCTTTTTATTAATGAACAATATCAATAGTCATAAATTTAACATTTACAGTATTTACTTGAATATCTTAACACTTTTGGCTTCCAATGAGGTGAATACATTTAGCTTTGTTTTCTGATAAGACACCACTGCACCATCAGACTCAAAATATCAAGTTTTTACCAACAATTATTCATGGCCCAGAATGGTTCAAATACTTCAACTCACGAGCTGGAGAAGCTGGAGACATTCATTAACCTACTACACTGTCCACTACTACAAAAATCAGTGGTTCAGTGTTAAAGTTAAATTTTGTTTGATTTAATAAACTTAAAAGTATTGGTTTCATTCTTTCTGTAGAAATACCAGTATAGGGCATTCATTACATAAAACTAAGTACTGTATTATAACAAATTAAGTAATTTGGAATACTTTATGAAAGCCAGGCTTTTATGAAGCCTGGCTTTATAAAAGCCAGGTGGTGCAGGGCTTTATAAAAAGCCAGGTGGTGCAGGTTGGATATGCAGATTAATTAATTCATAATTTCTTGAAGTATTTAGCAAGTGGAGCAGCCAGGCTAAATTCTCTTCTATTCTGCTTTTAGATGGGTACCAATACAATACATTCTTCTCTAATGTGTTTAGCTTCCCTAACTTTCATAATTACATCATACACAGGAAACATGGGCAACAGATTTGCTAAATTGTATAAAGCTCTTACAGACACAACATTCTCCAGGCAAGATCTACCTACTAGGCATTTCTCTAGGCAAGATCTACCTACTAGGCATTTCTCTAGACTAAATGCTTGCATTGTAAATGATGGTTACAATTGTATTCCTGAATATTAACAAAACTTGAATCGACGAATGATTATCTATGACTTAGTTTTTCTTTCATGCAGTCAAGATTATGTACAACAGCCTTGTCCAAAAAATCTATGTGTGGCTGTTCGGCTTCACTGGCAATGTGACTCTGAGCACAGGTCTTCAGGGCTGTACGCAGCAGGTCTGCTAGCTGGCAAGACTAAAAATTACAAATTAATTATATTTACAAAAAATCTAGTAAGAAAATATAATTTCATTAATAAATGTCTATAGTAGCAACACATGCTTTAGGTTTTCCTATGATGGTATAATGGCAAATAATTTGATTATCTTATTTAGCTCCATACTATCAAAATATATAAATGAAGAACACTAAAAAAATTAATTAGTGCACTTTCATATATTTTTGCAATTAAATACATTAAAACAAGATGTTTTGAGTGTAGCCAATTAAGAAGAATATCACCAGGACAGGCAATCACAGAATACAGTGGTGTAATTGATATAGGCATGGAGTGTTGGGTACTAGGGTGCATTGATTACATGTCACAAAAAGAGTACAGGATGCTGTAATAAATACAGAGAATAATGAGTTTAGGCTTGAATAATGAGTACATGTTGCTTTAAGGGGTGGTGGGGAGTGGATCAGGTGGTGGTAATGTGATGCTTAATGTTGTGGTACCCGTGTAGTTACACTGAGAGCTATGCTTGGGTGTCCCTTCATCACAATAATCTTTGTCATATGATGCTTTGAAACTACTGATGGTTTTGGCAAACACTGCCTCTTAACTCGTTCACAAAAAGAGAACGCGAGTATATTTTTTGCACCGTTATTTCCTTAGCATGAATCCATGACCTCTTGTTCTCAAGAGGTAGGTTTAAAAATTTCTCTGTGTCTATTATGTTGATTCCTGTTACTTTTTTGTATGTTGAGATCATATGACCTCTTTTCTTCCTGTCTTGTAGCCTTGGCATGTTTAACACCTCCAGCCTCACCTCATAGTTCATGTTCTTAAGGTTCAGGAGCCATTTAGTAGCATGTCTTTGCACCTCTTTTTCTAATTTGTTTATGTGCTGCTTGAGATATAGGAATAACACTACTGTTGCATATTCCAATTTTGGCCTCACATATTGAGAACATTTTCTTTGGCTCTGACAACCTTTTTCTTCAATGCATTCCACTAGCCACCTGTACAGAGTATGAATATTTCCTTATGCTGTATTGCTAAGACTCTATTGCAAGCTTCAGGTTTCCTTTGTCCAGTCTATACTTTGTCTTGGAATCTTGTATGTAGTGATCATATTCCTCTGTTTCTTCTCTCTTCTAAGGTTGGGAGGATGAGTTCCCTCAACCTGTCCTCACAGCTAAGCCCTTTAAATTCTGATTCTAATCTTGTTACTAATCTCTTTAATTTCTTAAGTTTCTTTGTGCACTTCACAAGGTGTGAGTTATATGCTGGTGCTGCATACTCAAGTAATGGTCTCATTGAGAGTATTTATGGAAATGAAAGCCTCCTGTTTAAGATTCTTAAATGATGTACTTATATTACTAATTTCCCATAAGCTGCTGATGTAATCGTGTTCACACAAACTTCTGATGCTAGTTCCATATTGGGATTACATTCACTCCCAGCTCTCTTTTCCTTAATGTATCTTGTAGTTAATTTACCCTTATGGTGTAGCTACCTACAAGTCTCCTATCTCCCTTGTCCATCTTCATTACCTTATACTTATTTGGATTGAATTCTGGCAAACATTTATCTGCCCACTCCTGTAAATATTGACATGTATGAGCACACTCCCTCTGGTAAGTCATTTACATAAAATAGAAAGTGCAATGGCCCTTGGACAGAGCCCTAGGGAACATAGCCTGACTTGACTATGACCCTTTGTTTTCTGTCAAAGTACTCCTTCACCCTGTCCAGTGCTTTTCCTGTTTTCCCTGCTTCTCTCTTCATCATGTGTATTAGTCTTTTGTGGGGGAGTGCTAAAATCTGGTTGCAGTTGGAGACTGCAGCCAGTTGGGAAACTAGCAGTTGGTCCTGAGAACTACTTAGCAATTCATGTTCTGTCAAATACGGCTTGGAAATGTTTTGCATTTATTTGCATAGGTGCTACTTTGGGTTGGACTGAGCACCTTTGAAGTGCCTCTATACTTCCAGTGTTGCCTAGTAGGGATGCTTTAAAAAGATCCCTGCTGTGCCAGTGCAGAATGTTACCTTACCCTACCATTATCCTGTCCAATAAGACATTAAGTGGGTTTGAATAAGAAAGCATAAGTTGAACAAGGGGAATAGCTTAGAAAAAACATGGTTTTGACAACAAATGAGATATATTTTAATCTTACTTGTTCTTCCATACTGGATACATTCAGAGGTGGATACAGCTCAAGGATTAATGTGTCAACAGTTTTGGACACAAGTTTACAATCTTCATACAATTGGTCTAACTCCTTCACTTTATCAGGAGTGGCACACGATCCATTCTTCTCCACTGCAGCTAACACTCTCTTATAAAGTATCTGAAAAAATAGTATTAAAAGAGTGAAAATGCTTGTGTACTAACACAATGAAATTTAAAAAAATTAACTCTTCATTTACTTATGGATATACTGTACAGTATTACAGTCCAACAGACACATGGGACAAATATTCATTTTGTACTGTTTTAAACTGTAGATCCATATAAAAAAATAAGATATAAAGTGTTTAATGTATGAAATATGCTTTCTTGAGTGGCCTCAATAGCTTCCTGGGGTCTTGGTACACAAACACACCTACAATGAAAACTAGAAAGTTTTCTTCAAAGGGTGCTGGACCAACTGGGCTGTGGTGGATATGTGGGCCTGCCAGCCGCTCCAAGCAACAGCCTGGTGGACCAAGCTCTCACAAGTCAAGCCTGACCTCGAATTGGGCATGGGGAGTAGAAGAACTTCCAGAACCTCATCAAGCAGGTTAAGCAGGTAATGTTACTAAGCCTCTAGATTGTGCAGGCCTACTGAACACCTGGATCAGAATCTGGTGCTCATGGAGCAAGGAAGCATGGTGATCAGAGGTCAACCCATTACTGAGAAAAACTTCTCCAAAAAGGAAAGCCTAAGCAAAATACTGTATCCCAAATCTTTATTAGAAAGAAAAAAGGAAAAAACAAAACCAACAATGGTTTGTCGATCGTAAACAATCATTGCATCAACACACAGCACTCCACCAGGTGGCAGTTCAGATAACCAAGGGTCCAGCTGATCAACAGCCTCACTGTTGATAGTCATATTGATAATTCCTGCAACACTGCTTCTGCATCTGCTGGGATTGGCAACGTTCCAGCCAACTGGTGTTAGCATTTCTTGGGACACTACTGTAATACAAGGGGGGAACATGTTTTGCATTCCTTATCTACTTATACTTCACAATTGTGTTTATGCTACCCACATTGTAAGCCCTTAGCCTTTAGTTTGCTCTGACTTGGTAAGTTTCAGTTTTGGTAAATTCTTTTTCAAATCCCATAGCTCTGCTGATGTCAGGATAATTTTTGGTATAATTTATATAATTTTCTCACACAAGAATTGTTAATCCAACCTTGGCAGCTTTGATGAGATTCACAGAAGGCCCTATGAGGTCCTTATCCTCATTCGTCCACTTGTCCTCCTCCTCCATATAATCTTCACTGTCATCTAAACAATTCCATCCACTTCCATCCCCTTTAAGTGCCTAGAAAAAAACAAACATGGAACAATTTCAAGCATCAAATATATTCAAAAGATGAATTATTTCTTATGGAATGTTTTCTAGCTAATTAATAACAATTACATCTTAAATCTCTAAATCTCCCAACTACCTATGGCACTTTTTGCCAAGTGGACCAATCTAGGATTTTGCCATTTTGGACCAATCTTCTAAATACAATAGGCCATATCACTTAGTGTATGTGGAAGTTTTCTTACAGCATGTGGTTATAAATAGCAAAAAAAAATTAAATTAGACAAAATATCCTGACATCCAGGTTCCTCACTAATTTATACCAAGTCTGGAACAATAGGTCCAGAGAGTAAGTCACAATAACATGGCTGAAAATTAATATCCAACCCAAAGAAAAGCCTGTGTGCACTTACTTCTGATATTTCAGTGAAGGCATCCGAGACAAGATTGTTTTGGCCATGTAACTCTCTCAAAACTGCTGCTTTATTATCTTGCGGACATTTTGCAATTAGATCGCATCCCTGCCATACAATACCTGTTGACTGATGGTACCTTTCAGGTCTAGAAAAAAGGTAAATAATAGATTTAGAATAATCATTATGTTGAAGGTGATGTTAATCTACTATCTATATGTATGCATATTTTAGTCACAAATGTTATCATTACAATTGATTAAAATTGTTATGCTCTGAATTACTGTATTGAGTAAAGGGGGCTAAAAAGCAAGGCAAAGTAACCAACACTATGCAACAGGAATACTTTTCATATACTTTATGTATCAATTTTTCTATCATCACAAAAACTCTAAGTATTGACTTGTCATTTAGTCCATCCTAACAACAGCATGTACAACTCATGGAATAAATATTTGTAATCATTATTACACCTGATAAACCATTCAACAGTACTGTATTGTACTTCTTATAAATTAAAGAGGGGATATATAGTATAGAGATGCAATTAACAAAAATTTATTACAGTATGTTGTAATAGGTTTCAGAAAATGTATACAGTATGTACAAGTAACTAATCTCTGTTACTATGGTATGCATCAAACAAGCTAATAGTCATATTGATAAACCGAACCAAGAGATTGGTAGCACAATGGTTAATGTTACTGGCACACAATTGAGGACATGGGTTTAATCTTCAAGCCTAATACAGTAAGAACATTTGGGCACATTCTTTTTTCACCCACTGCTTCTGTTCACCAAAGCAGTAAAATAGGCATTCAGGGGGTTAGAAAATGGTTATGGGTTGCATCCTGGGGAAGGTCAGGAACCTCGATAAGCCTGTCCCTAACAACGGGATTTATTTGATGGTTAGAAATGTAGTGCCTTCAGCTGCCCTCACAACACGGCAAGAGTCAGATAAGACTGAAAGCTCAAAGAGAATGAGCAGTCTGGTCTCATCTTCCTAGTATGTCACAATATTGTCTGTGCTTCTTGTTCCCTGCTTGGGGTTTTATACTGTGAAGACTAAACCTCACACATATCATCACAAATATCTGTATCATCAGATTTCTACACACCAGAACAAAAATCTACACACCAAAAGATGAGGAGACGACAATGTTTCAGTCTATCCTGGATCATTATCAAGTCGATTCCTCATCTTCTGGTGCATAGTTTAGTCTTCATATCTTCAGCCAAGTTATTGTGACTCATTTTCGGCACTTGTAGAAATACAGTACTGTATGTCATATACCAGTACTTATTACTGGTGATATGCATTTGTTTAACATGTCTAGTGGGTGAGACACACACTGAAGAAACAACTTTATGATGTGCATCACATATCCCTGTCAAAGTAACTTTCAAGCAATACTTAAGGTAAAATCAGTTTAAGCTTACATTGCTTCACCCCCTTCATCCTTTATAACCTTCAACAATAACCGAGCAGCTTGAATGGCTCGCACAACTGCATACTGGACATTAGAATGAAGGACACTACCATACACTGGGGAGAGACTGTAGAATACAGACACCAAGGAGAGGACAGCTTGCTCCACAGACGTAAGGAGACCTGGAGAATACAGGTAACATTACTATACATTTCAGATCCATAAATAGACATCCCAAACCACTGTACTAACATTTCTTAGTTGTTAACCATGAGGGGTCATGTCTAGATTAACCATGAGGGGTCCTGCCCCCAATTACTTTAAATGATCTAAGCTGCACTATACTGTACTTTACCCAACAACATACTTGATGTTTCATTAGCTGTTGGAATTGGAGATTTGGTGAAGCAAATGCCAACCTTAGTGCATTCAAAGGACAGCTTTTGAGAAATTGTACCTGTAATTGGTCAAACATTATTACAGTGTGGTATAATGATTAAGATTTACAAGATTAACATAGTAATTACATCATTATTCTGTATATGTCAATATTATTAATGAGTCAATGAGTGAAAGTAACAGATTTTATTACTAGATATACAGTACTGTATTAAAAAAATGGAATGGTAAAAGAAAACAGAGAGAGAGGCCTATTGTCCACAACAACATTTCTAACAAGGATAAGTGTAGGGTATGCTTCTATATGGAGAAGCATACCTTACACTACATTAGGTTATGTTTGGATGCAGAAGAGGAGAGCAACGTAGAAGGCTCTTCCTCACCCTCCACTAATAAATACAAATATTGGAAGTACTGTAGCATGATGCCAGTTAAATACAATCCACAAATTTAACAGGACAGGCAGAAAAGTGTTGTCTTAAAACTACTACTAATTTAAATGTTACAACTCCAGTTGCTACTGCTACTGCTACTACCAGGAGGCATATTTCAAAAATTTTAAGATTTCCATTACAGTACTGTATTCTGAGTTTCAGATTGTTTAAATTACACTATACATTGAATACCAAAACAAAAATAAGAATTATACACTTACTTAAATTATTCCAAAAGTTTTCAAGGACATAATCATCACTCTGCTGTTGTGCAACATCTTTATCTGAAATATTTATTACGCAATACAAATAAAGATCTGGAATCACATGGCTGTGTGTATGTATTTACTATGAGTGCCTGCAGAAGTGAGCTATTAGTTCCTCCTTTCTAACCGATGTTTATTTCTAACACACACACACACATATACCCAGGAAGCAGCCCATAACAGCTGTCTAATTACCAGGTACCTATTTACAGCTAGGTGAACAAAACATCAGGTGAAAGAAACTGTCCATTTGTTTTGGCTTCGGCCAGGAATCAAACCCGGGCTTTTAGGACTATTACTCCCGAGCGCTGTCCACTCAGCCGCGAGGCCCCCCATGTGTGCGTGTGTATACACATGCACACATATACAGTACTGTGTATTAAAACAAATGTGGGAAATTAATTATTTTCCCAGTACACTATGTACAGTATATAAATTCTTCTAGCCTATTACAGTACTGTTCAATAATAATAATAATAAAATGAAGTTGAAGGAAAGACCCAATACATGTTTAAGTGTATTAAAACCAAATTTTGGGATGCAACCTACATCATTTCTCAAGAACATTATTTACAGGACCTTGAGAAAGATGTAGGCTGTATTCAAAAATTTGGTTTTAATACACTTACACATACATTTGGTCATCCTCCAACTTCGTTGTTATTATTATTATTATAATATATTATTATAAATAAACTTGATTAGGTTATAATTTTATTTTTAAGCTACTGTATCTTGTATACAAAAAATTAGTTTTTGTATGCTTTATGTATACTGTGCATATACCATTGGACATCACTGATATACATATGTAGTTTTGATTCTTGGGACATTTATTTCAAAACTTCTGAAATACACAAGTTAACTATGGTACAGGTATACTGTTATACAGAAACCCAGGCTGTCGCTTGTCCCGTTACAGGCCAGACTCAACAGTGCTTCCCCTTACTGAGTGATGTCCACATTATTCACTGTGCAATGTCCAATTAGTTCCAAAATCAACATAATTTTTCTGGGGTATGGTAAAGTTCTATAGATGCAAATCATATCATACGCAAGATGGTTTCGCAACATATTTTTATACCTAACTCAAATCAACCCAAGTCTAATACAGCCTAACCTAAGTTAATACATCCAAACCTAATGATAATTTTACCTGAATTTACAAGAGGGCCATTATCTTTCTAGTGGCCTTGACAAGGACAGGAAGACGGCAGCTTGTCAAAGGTTCCCCCACCCCATTTGTACTGATTATAATATACAGTTTTGACAAAGAAAACATCTTTGTCAAAATGTCGACGTCTGATTTAACCATACCCAAATTGTACACAAGCATTTCAAAAGACTTGTTTTCCGACTGTCAAAGCCGTGTACATTGTTTGGTTTGGATGTATTTGCTTGAACAGACTGTGTTTGACTCAGTTTGGTTGCGAAAAGTTAGATTGCAAGTCATTGGCGAAACGTCTTGTGTACCATGTGAATTATATCATTATGACAAGACTGGCCTAAATTGAACTACAAACCCAATAAAGAAATACCACCTACTTTGAACTTGCTGCTCTGCTAACAGCAAGTTTTCAATGCTGTTAAGTAATATGTTAGCCAAAGGGGCAGTGGACGAAGCAGCCATTACTGGCAAGAAGCACTTGTGTGCGGCACGTGGTTTACGTATTGCGTACAGGCAATAGCAGCACTTGTCCACGGCACGTGCAGTTTGCGTGCCGTAATCAGGAATTTCTAATTCTTTTTTATAGTAGGTGCAGTTGCATGAAGGGTTTGATTCAGGAATTTTGGGACGTTGTTTACATTTTTTCACTGTGTTCCGAACCTTAATGGAATCTGACCCATATATCAATCAGGTCAACCCATGTGTTGCGTTTCCAAAAGGGTCGCCCATGTTAGAATCGGTGAACGCCCTAGTAATATTGTTGAAAACATCTTAATAACTTATTAAACCAAAGGTCTTTTCATGTCAGAAGAACGGCAGAAACTGGATCTATATATGAAAACTCTTTCAGGACAAAATTTAAAGTAAAACTAAAGATATTGGTAGTTGTATAAAAGTTGCATTTTTCATCGGTCGTAGAGCCGGAAATCCGCAATATTCATCTCAGAACAATGCTTATTTCACGCAGAATCGTTAATAAACGTAAGATTTTTATACGTCTCAAGAAAGATAGAAACATAATCTTCATTTTAAATGCCTTACCATGGGCATATTTGTATTTAAAGCGAAGATACGTGTATTTTTCTAATCGGCGAGCTCCGATCCCGCACAGATCGAGCAACGGAGTAACTCTCTCACAGAACAATGCTTATTTCACGTAAATTTGTTAATAAACGCAAATGTTTTTATATGTGTTGAGAAAGATAGAAATATAAGCTTCATTTTAAATACTTTACCATAGATATATATAAAGTTCTAATGAAGATACATGTTTAAATAATCGCCGAGCTCCGACCCCGCACAGACTGATCGACAGAGCAACTCTCTCAGAACAATGCTTATTTCACGTAAATTCATTAATAAACACATATGTTTTATATGTCTCAAGAAAGATAGAAATATAAGCTTCATTTTAAATACTTTAACATAGACATATATAAAGCTCAAGTGAAGATACATACGTTTTTATAGTGGCATTCAGTAGCTTGTCGGTCATGGAATGCAGAAGCCTACGCACTTGCCAATATAGTGTGTAATTAACAAAGATACGCTTATAAAGCCTAAAATATTATATGCCTTCAGAAAGACAGAGATATGCTCGTTATTGTGAGTGCACCAAAGGAAATATATCTTGTTGGAGGACAAAGATATATCAATTCTAAAATAAGTTTCAACTCTCGCTCGGGCGAGAGATAGCCCGACTCTCGCCCTATCTATTGGAGATTCTGTTCACCTAATGACCCAAAGCTACTCAAAGCCTCCTAGCATTACTTAAATAATGAAGAAATATGGTATATTTATTCACTATAATGTTGGTGCTTAATGCAGAACACGAGAAAACATATATTTACTATAAAATAATATACTTCCATTATGAAATAAGTAAATATGTGGCCTCATAGGAAGTCAACGGTCCAGGTGTCAATGTTGTGGAGCGACTTATCCAAGATATATTGTTGTCTGGAAAGTGTTTGTTGGCATATCAACCTTCTTGATTGATTGTTGCCGCCGAAGGCGGCTAGTTTATTGTGCACCCCATACTCATCCTGTGAGCGGTAGCGCAAAAGCATTACAGAGGGCACAAAAGGTCTTTATCAGACCTCATCTTAGATTATTACATAAACAATTTCTTCAATCCTTCACACCTTCTGTACACAGTGATCCAGTCGTCGCACTTCTCTCCTTAAATGATCACAAATTTAGTTTATTATATTAACAAGTAGAATACGTATTTCTAATAATATCTAACATAACTAGCCAGAAAATATTTAAGACTTATTGAAAAATACATGTCTGGAAGTTAAATCGACTTCATAGAACAATAGTGTTGGTCTATACTAATCGTTATTCGTTAGTATGCGTTCGCTACTTAAAGCATTTACTGTACTGATGTAAAATCTCCCATGTCTCTTCGCACATGGAACACCGAACCTTACACACTCTGATATATTGTTTAATTAATAGAGATTCACTAATAAAGCTTATAATTGTATATGTTATCAAAAAGGCATAGATAAAGTCGTTCTTACGTTTTAGTCACAGAGATTAGATATTAGTAAAGTAAAGTTCATTTCTGACCAGGGGGAGAAAGATACTGGCAGTATGGGGCGTTAAAGTTTATTGAAGATTAAATTCTGCAGAACATGTAAATATATAAAGTTCAAATATAAAGTAAGTAATTATATAAAGTTTATATTAAACACGGTTTATATTATAGACTTAACAAAGTTGATATTATTAAACTTAATATTGAACATGTGAATATATAAAGTTTCAAATATAATTTAAGGAATATATAACGTGTATATTAAAATAAATAAAGTAAATATATAAAGTAAGAATTAACAGTAACAATTCCAAACCTTCCATGTAAATATATAAAGTTAAAATATAAAGTAAGTAATTATATAAAGTCTATATTAAACACGGTTTATATTATAGACTTATAACAAAGTTGATATTATATTAAACTTAATATTGAACATGTAAATATATAAAGTAAATATATAACGTTTATATCAAAATATATAAAGTAAATATATAAAGTAAGAATTAACAGTAACAATTCCAAGCCCGAGGACTAGATTTAACTTAAGGTACACCCGTAGTAAGTATGAGACCTTAGCCTATAGTGACATTGAAACTAATTCTGCAGAAACCTAAAGGTTAACTGGTACTAGAATTAAGGCCGAGTGCAAATGTGTAGTAATTATATAACACTAGGATATAACAGGCAGGACACAAAGAATAACTAATAAGTGAGAGACCACATAACACGTAATGTACCCGGCCAAGAGGCCGTAAAAGACCTAATGGATAAGGAGAAGGGGGTGTGACTACAAGTAGGGCTTACTAGCACCTAGACTGGGCAAAGTATTAGCTGCGGACAGCGGGACACTTGGGGACCGGCGCTGCACCCCCCTTCCCACATGCAGTGGGGAGACAATCGGGACAACTGAGCAAAGCATGACGGGGGTACAAAAGCAGCCGCTTGCAAAGGGGGGGAGGGTGGGGTTTTGCGAGGGCAGCGGCGAGGGCAGGCGGAGTGAGGCAGAGCCCCGTTGTGCGCCCGTATTTATACAGCCCCAAACTGCCCGCGCAACGCCGCGGGACGCGCTGCGCAATTGTTTCTTTCTCCCCCGCCAGAAAAATCCCCCCTTGCTATCAAGCAGTGACCATTTTTATTCAGGAAAGTACATAAATAGTCGATTTACAAACATAATATTGGATTTATAGATAGAGCTAGTACATACAATACCTAAAGCCACTAGTACGCATAGCGTTTCGGGCATATTATTGAGAGAGGAAAGATATTTATATTTAAACAATTTTTTTTTTACCGACGCTCTCCCTATTGATGAGAACTACAACCTAATGAAGATAAATGTTAATTTTATGTAGATACTGTAATAAACGAAAGTTTTTAATGTCATCAGAGAAGCAGAAATATAGGCAAATTTTAAATCCCTTGTCATAAATATAACTGAAGTGAAAGCAAAGATATATGCATTTTGATAGTTACAAAGACAGCTCTTTAACACGGGTGGAACACGAACAAGGGGAACTTAGTACCCAAATGAGCCACAGAGGTATTAGAAAGAATTTTTTCAGTGTCAGAGTAGTTAACAAATGGAATGTATTAAGCAGTGATGTGGTGGAGGCTGACTCCATACACAATTTCAAATGTAGATGTGATAGAGCCCAATAGGCTCAGGAACCTGTACACCTGTTGATTGACGGTTGAGAGTCGGGACCAAAGAACCAAAGCTCAACCCCTGCAAGCACAAATTAGGTGAGTACAACTAGGTGAATACAGCTGAGGGGCGGGACCAAACAGCTGAAGCTCAATTCCCTACGCATAACTAGGCGAGTCCATAGGAATTACCGTTTGTCCTGGCGCCATCTATGTTTTGACAGCAGTACTACTAATGTTCCCACGTTATGTGATGATCGCTATACGGGGTGTTACGGTCAGTTGCTCTTCTATATATGTTTATGGACAACGTAGGTGATTTGAGGCAATTTGCGGCCAGAGTGAAATAGTATCCACGCGCTGAGTGATGGAGGAGGATATATACTGCTGTGTACTCGACCAGCAGGTGAGAGGTAAGTTATATCGAACAATTATGGGGAATAGATGGGTTATTTTAAGTGTAGAATGTCAGGTAACCGGTAACTACACAGATGGGGTAGTTTTTTTTTAAGTCTTTATTTACTAAAGTGGAACATTACATGATGCCTTTAGCTGAACAAGTCTACTGGTGGGGGAAGTAGACGGGTTTTATGAAAGTACTGTATTTTACCTAAATTTGTATTTGGTTAACTAGTTCAGTAGTTACCAGGGAGGGTGTTCCTTTAATCTAATCTAAAAATTCTAGCCGGACAGTGATTAAATAAAGAAATTGAATAGAACGAAGTGGTTTGCCAGGGTGCTTAACATTTAGTTTAGTTCACTTACTATGCAGCCCATGCTTAAAGAATGCAAGTTTATCATATTGAATTTACCGTAGTTTTACTGCATTTAATATACCGTTTTTACCCTATTTAATTATGTCGGTAAAGGCCGGTCGTGGAAAGTTCCTAATATAGCAAGTTTTAAAGGAAAAGTTTGAGTTAACTTTAACGCTTACGTTAGTGACCAATTAGCTTAGTCTATTGTGAGGAAAGTTACTAGAATCTAACATTGCAAGTGCCATTTCTCTACTATTTTTGAGAAACATGACTAGATACATGAATCGCATAGTTTTATTACTAAATGTTCATAGATTAGGTTGCATAGTTGAGGAAATGGTAAGGTTTGTGATTGTGTACCTTGACTTCAGCAGAGATTTTGATAGTGGCGCAAAATTGATAGGGGCTCGGATCATTGGAAATGCTGACTGAAGTTGATTAGGTCATGGCTATACCAAAGGAAATTAGTATAAATGGGGTTAAGTTGGGAGAAGTGTTGTTAGTGGTGCCTAAAAGCTCTCCTTGGACCTCGGTTATTCGCAAGATTATGGTTTAGAGTGCAATAGTTGCAGAATTGGCAAATAAAAAATATCGATGCCCTATATAGTTTTGAAATGGTTAAGACTACCAGATGCAGTTTAATGCTGACAAATGTAAGGTTTGGGGGCTAGGTAAAGATTAGATGGTGTAGATTATTAAGAGTATTAAATTTTTTGCAGGTGGTAAATTGTCCCCGAGCTGGCACTGCTCTCCAGCCTGGGATGTTGATTGGTTAGTTTTCAACTGCCTCCCAACATGGTAGTGAGGTCCTGAGCTGACATGCAGTGAGGAACGTGGAAAGCTTCCTGAATTGGCACATGGTATGCCTCCCTTTCAAACCAGCAGCTGGCACAAATGTTCCAGCTAACATCAGAGTAGTGGATGAAGCCCACACTAAAATGTAAGTGGTACAGTAAACGGACACCCCCCCCTGCCTTTTGCAACCCGTTCTCGCAAATTTAATAAATCAATATTAACTTATTAGTTGCGTGCATAGGTGACATACTTAACATAATAGTTTCCCTTGAAAAGCTTCATAGAAAACACTGACCTTACCTAACCTACTAGTATGTTAAGATAAGCATCTTATTGCTTCGTAATTATAATTATTACCTAACCTATACCTATAATAGGTTAAGTAACAATTGTAATTACGAAGCTATAAGATGCTTATTTGTTGTTGGAAAATCAAATTTGTATAGGATGTTGACTTGAAATGACTATAGCTTTGTTTGTAATAAAGATGGGACAACAAGATACTTAGTGTGCCATTTAAAACGGCAACTGTTAAACTGGTGGTACAGGTATGAATAAAGTAACGTCGCTATGCAAATAACTTTTTAGTAATATTTACTGTTCACATGACAGGTTGTGGAAGGTCCTGGCAACAAAGAGCTGCAGGAAAATACTTGCAGATCTACAGTAAGTAGTGTTGTGTACATTGGAATTAGAGGGTAGACGTTAATTGCTAAAAACCTATTAAATATTAGGGTATGGAAGTCTAGGCTTAGGCTAGTGGGTACCATATCTGCAAGTTTAGTCCTTTCAGGAATGTATTGAATAGAATGGTATGTTGAAATTGTGAAAATTGTAATGTGGGGCATTAGATCTTAAACAGCATAGTTGAGGGTGTTTTATTAATAATTTTAATGAAATAAGTCTTGTTTAGTTAACATTAAATGTTTGTTAAATAAGCTTTAATCTATAAATGTATAACACTGTTAAGGGTAATCATGAGTCAAATAAAGTTAATGGCAGGAAAAGTTTTGTTCCAAGTGATTGTATTTTTCCCTTGAAAGTAAAAAAAATAATCAATGTTTACTTTAGCTTGGTTTTAAATTTATATAGTTTTGCAGAATGTGGTTTGGAAAGTCCAGAAGTCCCTCTGTCAGTTGCTGAAACAGAATCAGGTGAGTTGTAGTAAAGGTTATTCTGAATAGATTTGCATAAAAGTAAAAAAATAGTAATAACTTAAACAATATAGCAATGGCTAAAGATAAATGTAAATTGCCATTGAAGTGCAGTTATGAATAGTTTCTCAAATGACATTTACTGAAACTTGGCAAATTGATGTGATATATATTTATATTGCTAAATTAGATCTTTACTACTGCTACTAGAATATGTAGGAAAGGTAAATTCCTTAAAGAAATTTTTTCCATCTGAATTTGTAAAGTACTGAATGCTAATTTGAAAAGTAAAGCAAGATTGGCTTTAAATCTGAAATTAATTTGTTGAAATATTTTTCAGGTGAAAGTGATTATGATGCATGGACTGGGGCTCCTTTACTCTGCAAAAGTGGGTGAGTTTGAATTTGATGTTTTAGCTATATCAATGACCTAATCTTGATTCTCTTATCTAGTCCATTTATAGGTGTGTAACCATGTCCTACTGTTAAAACCCGCAGGGGATGATGCAGTTTGTACTGATCCTACCCCATTTCATAAAAGGGGACCAGGCAGTCCTGCAGATTTCCCTGGCTTGGCTTTTTCAGAGATTTGCTCTACTACCCATCTAATAGATGGACTAGATTTGCATAGGTTTAGGGACCCTTAACAATGGTTACATTGTTAATTCTCACAGGGCTTGTTTGCTGAATGGGTGGATGCATCTAAAACTTAGTGCCTGGCATGCATTGTACAGTGCTTTCAGTAAAGCATATGTACAATGTGTTGATGGCACTAAAGTGGTGGATGTAATGTTCCCATTCAGGGAACAAGCTCTGCACTAAAATCAGAGGAAGGGATTGTGAAGGGGCCTTGAAATTGGGTAAATTGAAACTAGGATATAGTACCCACTAGTCAAGGCCTTAAACTAAAGTTAAATCTTGCAAGAATTGCTTTGAATAGAATAAATGGGACTTTAAATTTGTGAATGTAAAGTTGGGCACTGTTAAACAGCATAAATTTGCAAGTTAAAGATTTTATGAAATTTTTTATTTAAATCTTAATTTGTTTGCATGGTTCTTAATTATTTGGCTAGAAGTAATTCATTTATAAATTACACAAATCACAATGTGATATTTCTAATGCACAAGGGCTGTGATGAGGGGTTCAAACTTATGTTGGAGGATCCCAGATGTGCTTTAAGACTGTGCCACAACATGGTAAAAGAATTGCAACTGGGAGGTCTACTGACATCATGGATTTAATCTACGTTTGTAGCTTAAAAGGCTATGTTCATAAATTAAAGAATCATTTAATGATTGTATAGTACACAAATTAAATATTGAATGGTAACTGTACTTCAACTTTGTTTATTTATTTGAAGCTTAAATACTGTCTTTCAGAATATTGATGGGAAAGTTGAACTTCAGCCCTGAGTTTGAAGGTGTTAATTGCTTGACATTCTGAATTAGGTGAGTGTGGTAGTAAACATTATAACTTAAACACTCATTATGGCTGAAGATAATCTGAAATGATGCAACATAAATTGCTGACTTTAATGTACTTAGTCAAACTAAGTTTAATGTTTTTGCTTGATTAGCATTAAAGGAGAATTCTAAAATCTTGTTTAACAAGCTAATTTTGGTAAATGTTTCAGGTGGTATGGAAGATTACAATGTCATCAAAGCATTGACTGGCTTCAGTGTGGTTGTTCTACTCTGCAAATCTACGAAAGTTGGTATGTGGAATTAAGTTTTAGCTATGTCAACTAATTAATTTATTTTCTTTCATCTAGTCCATTTATAGATGTGTACCAAAGTCCTACTGTTACCACCTGCAGGGATTGATGCAGTTTGTACTGATCCTACCCCATTTCATAAAAGGGGACCAGGCAGTCCTGCAGATTTCCCTGGCTTGGCTTTTTCAGAGCCCTGCTCTACTACCCATCCAATAGATGGACTAGATTTGCATAGGTTTAGGGACCCTTAACAATGGTTACATTGTTAATTCTCACAGGGCTTGTTTGCTGAATGGGTGGATACATCTAACACTTTAGTGCCTGGCATGCATTGTACAGTGCTTTCAGTAAAGCATATGTACAATGTGTTGATGGCACTAAAGTGGTGGATGTAATGCACCCATTCAGGGAACAAGCTCTGCAATAAAATTGAAGTAAGGGATAGGCCTTGCTGAGCCTATCTTAAAAGATAGGATGTTAGGATTTTATGGGCTTATTATTAGGCATTGGTGATAATAAAAGTAGTGTCCCTGTTTAATGTTTATTTTTCTTTTACAGGTGATTGTCTCTGGAGTTGTCCTGGATCTTCTGTTCATCTAGGAGCATCTGTCCCACAACCTGAAAGAGTAGATGTATTATAAATACTATATGTAAAACTTATTAAATAAAACAATTTTAATGAAACTACTATATATACCTTATCCTGAAAATTATTGTTTACTACTATTGATGCAATGTTTAAACATCTGAAATTTTTTAACTGAAAATAAATACTTGGTAAAATTTACACCTATTTAACTTGTTACATAGGTGCATGCAAAATGCACTGAAAAGATGTAAGTGGACTACCTATTCAATTTACATAGACTAATATTTCAAACTAACAAATATTGCAAATTAAAGTGGAAGAAACTTTAGTCAATATTTTAGTTTTCATATTTGAAAGTAAATTTAAAGCTATGCAACACCTAAGCTTTGTACAAATTATAATTAAATTAACTAAAGATCATTGTTAAATTTACAAAACATTAGAAAAGTGACACTGAAGCATCTATACAACATGGTTTTCACAAAGTCTTTGGTAACTTAAGTTTAATCAAAGCTCTTAAATGATTTGTCTGCCAAACTTCAGATATTCTGAAATATTTTACCTAGATTAAAACCATCATTGTTTGAAAGGGCAAAACAGATTACTGTCAATTAGTTTGACCTAACATCTGCAAGGTCCTGAAGGCATGGAATTTTTTCTGTAAAACTTTGTTTGCTAAAAACAAACCCTGCCTAATGAACCTGCTCTTTTTTTTAGAAATGGTAATTGCAACATTACCAAAGGCCATTGTTTTAATAGCCAAAGTACCAAATGAAAGACCAAGAAGCAACAAACAGGTACATGGTAGAAAGGACAAAAGAATGGTTACGAGGACCCTTTCATTTGTTAAAGAAATGACTGGGGAAAAATGCTGTCATACCACAAGGGGTCTTAACCCTTGTCATATACATCACTGACATTAATCTAAATATTACCAACCACAAAAATTGCTGATAACAAAAATAAAGAATATAATATTGAGGCCTTAATGCAGATCTCTAACTCTACAAATAGTAACAAGACTGGCAATTTCTTAATATAAAACAGAAAAAAATCCAAGACCTTGCACGCGAGCCAGAACAATCCATATCACAACTACCACATTAAAATGAAACAACAATGAAGGTAAGGTAATTACCAAAAGAAGGCACCAAAGTGCGAAATAATCAGAGGGCGCTAAATATCACCAAGAATGCCAATACGAGAACAAAAATGCATAAGGCGAACGATATCAAAAGTATCCGATTCACCTAGAATTCTATCGAGGGACAAGTGACTGCGAGGGACGGTCGGAAAGCAAGACACACGCTCGTCCTGGAAGTCAGGACATTCAACAAGGATATGCACAACTGTAAGAGGGACAACGCAATTCGGACAATAAGGAGCAGGGCGGCGCTCCATCAAGTGACCGTGGGTTAAGCGGGTATGACCAACCCACAGCCGTGTCCCACCGCCGGTTACGGTGGTAGGAGGAAGGCCACGGGGACACACTAAGTTTGAGAGTACGCAGCTTGTTACCAACCACAGAGGACCAACAACCCTGCCAACGGGGAAGAATGAATAACAGGATAAAAGTCGGAATAAGGAATACCTTTACGGGAGATGGGACAAGAACGGATAGCTTCTTTAGCGGCAGCATCCGCACGCTCATTAAAACACCAATATGGCTGGGAACCCAGCAAAACTCTACTGATTTAAATTTACTAGAAATAAGAAGCAGCCAATGTTGAATCTCAATGACCACCGGATGGACAGGATTAAAGGACCCTAGAGCCATGAGGGCACTACGAGAATCAACTACAACCACAAAGGAGGAATGAGAAAGCAAGAGACGAAGAGCATAGAGAATAGCATAAAGTTCTGCCGTAAAGACGCTAGCCTCCGAAGGGAGGCGACACATGTAAGTACGGTCAGGAAAAACAACAGAGTAGCCCACACCATCCGCAGACTTAGACCCATCGGGGAAGATGGAAATAGAGTGGGAGTGCGAAGAAAAGTGCTCAAGGAAGAGGCTTTTCAGAATTGTAGGAGGGGTAAAGGCTTTAGTAATACAAGTCAAGGACGTACAAAACTTGGGAAGGGGGACTCTCCACGGAGGTAATGAAGGAACAATACGAGGAGAAACATTAGAAATATGAACAGAAAGAGAATCCTGTAAGCGAGATAACTGGACAGAAAGTGGGAGACAATGAAGAGGAACAGGAACCACAGGAGGAGGAAAAGTCAATGCACGACAGAGGCGAGAGGAAGGATGTTGGAAGGACCGCGCAAGATAGCGAAGACAGTAGCGATCACGGCAGTCCTGAAGAGAGAGAAAGCCAGTGTCAACATACAAACTAAGGGCGGGAGTCGAACGAAAGCCACCAGAGCCGAGACGCAACCCAGTATGGTGCAAAGCATCAAGATGGCGAAGAGTAGAAGGAGAAGCAGAAGAGTATGCAGGGCAACCATAATTGAGTTTAGACAGGACGAGAGAGGAGTGCAAATAGAGGAGCGTGCGCCTATCCGCTCCCCAAGAAGTATGGGACAAAACCTTAAGGAGGTTAAGGGCCTTAGAGCATTCAACTCGGAGGCAAGAGATATGGGCTGACCAAGACAAACGAGTGTTAAAGACTAACCCCAAAAGCTTCGCGGAATCCCTGTACACAATGAGATGACCATAAAGCAACAACAATGAAGTAAAGGTCCTTTCAGTAAGAATCTATCATTCGCTGAAAGTTGCTGCAGTTAAAAATAAAAGAAAATACAAGTCCCTAGAAATAAACAAGCAACCTTTTTGACTAAGGAAAAGAAGGTAGTTATTCTACTGTATAAATCTAAGTATTCACTTAGATAACTGTATCCAAGCATAGAGGTTCCCCACCCCCCTTCCCTTTCAGAAAAACATCTACTTTCGAAAAAGTTTAACATTGGCCAACAAAAATGATTCCAGAACTAAATTGCCTAATACCAGGAACAACTGAGAGCCATGACAAACACTGCAACCCTCTCCTACCCCCAAGTCTTATGCTATTTATGATCCAAGGTAATTTGAGATACTTATACTGTACTTCCTACAGACGAGTCTAGTGAGAGGGTGATCTCCTGGCGATTAAATTGAAGCACGATACAGGTGTCAACGAACATCAGTCAGCCCACTTGTCAGCACAGTGGATAACTAATGACATCATAATCTGCAGTGTTGTATGCCTCCCTGTGGCCATTTAAATCAATAAAACACAGGGTTGTGGCAATGTTTACAGTATAAGGCAAGGTATAGAGGAATCCTGGAATGCCATGTAATGTGTAGTCCTTGAATGTGCTTTAGGCAACCAAATTGAATAACAACATTTCTGGTGTTCGGCTATATAATCCGACTTTCTCATTCGGTATAATGTTTTAAACCTAAATAGGAATTCACTTTAAAGGTCAATTTATTTGGAAAGTGCTAACCAGATTCCAAATTACTGAGCTCTGAAAGTACTACAAGGCAAGTTTAACCGAATGAGTGTTTGCCTATCCATACCCCCATGAGGTATGTGACAACACTGAATAAAGAAAGGGTCTTTGAGCATTCACCGTGCAGGTATTTGACATGACCAATATAGCCAAGTGTTAAAGATCATTCTAAGCAGTTCTGCACAATCCATATACTATCAATTAATATGATAGTATAGAAATGGTGCATGATATTTCCTATTAAAACTCATTGGACAACTGTTTGTATTAGACATTTTAAACCTACAAATGGTAGCCCTAGATATCGCACTACAGTATTAATTACAAGATGAACAATGTAAAATCAATACCACAACAGCAAAGGATGACGGCTTTTCAACAACCGACAAACACACAGGTCTAACACCGGCCATCCCGAGAGAGGACGTCCCAAGCACGTGCACCCCACAACTTTACATCACCTTTGCTACCTCACGCGAGCACGCAACAGCATGAGGACGCCACACTCCCAAACCAACTCCATGCACTTTGAGGCTTTAACAACTCAACATTTAAAAAGTTGATTTAAAAAATCAAACACCTGAATTTTTCCCTAATTAAATTTACTAGGGAAATGCACACCAAGCCATGAAACTTACAATGAAGATGAACAAATTACACACAACTGTCACCAAACTTCCACATACCACCCCCCCCTCTCACTCCTGCCCTCCCTCCTTAGGTGCTCTGATTGGCTGAGCACCTGAGCCACCACCACTCACCTCTTGTTGTGAGAGCCTAAAGCATGTTTGGTTGCACTTTAAAAGTTCCCGAGTGTACTCGCCTAATTGTGAGTACCGCCTGCCCGGTTCACCATTTTGTTTTTCAATCTACCTCAATTTACCCCTTTACAGTCAAATATTATGCAAAATTCTGTTAAAGACTTGTCCCTTCTTAACTTAAATAACTGCTTTGGCCATCTGCAATCTTTCTAGGTGGGTAAAAATGACTCTTGAGGCCAGAAAGGACTTATCAGACGCCGATCATAACAATACGGTACACACACAAAATCACAACCTGATATACACCAAGCAGAAAATCCACTGGAGCTGTGAGGCGACGTAAACCCTTGCCCAAGGCACTGGCAGCTGCATACTCTACCACAGTATATTACTGACTTTGTAAAAGTCTTACAACCAGATTTCCCCATAAATCACAGCAAGTTTTGAGGCCCCTCCTTGAGTCAACGTCTTACGTAAGACCTACAAGCACTCAGGTGAAGGCTGAAGCAGTTCAACACCATATGCCCCAACTTCAAATACACAGTTGAGAGGCGGGACCAAAACGTGATTTTCTGTGTGTGCCTGAAGTTGGGGCATACGGTCTTGCTTCACCCTTCACTTTACCCTTCACCGGCGTACTTCAGGGGTTTTATTTAATACTTGGACTGGCTTCAGTAGGGCCTCCAGACTTTCTGTGGCTTCACAAGTGTCACGTGAATCCCCTGCATAGCAGTGGAACTGCCTTTTCCCTTCACCTTCAATGCCTCTGCACTGGAAGTATACATCTACACCAGCCC